AACACTGCCTTTTTAAAGTGTGTTCATTAATGTAAGCAGCAACATGAAACACAGCAGCAGGAACATGTACGCAGCAATAGCAAGTGAACACAGCAGCAGCAGCATGACGAGGCAGAGGCAGGAAGACCTGGCAGCTTAAATGTATCATTGGTGCTCGAGTTGACTGCCTGAACTAGCTCGCAGGCTAGGAGTAGCATGATGAGATGTCTCACTATGGGATGCGCCTCCCTGCGTATTCATCAGATGCATCAATCTCATTACGCCAATCCTGACAATCCACCTACTCTATAAATAGCTTGCGCTACAATGCAGCGCCATTCAAAATGAGCCTCGAGAGAGGAGCCTGTGACCTCCATCTCCTCTGATGTGAGGGAAGGATGCACTGTCCCTCTCAGTTAGCTGTAGTGCTAACCGGTTGGCTGGTTTGCTTATATTAAAAAAAAGCTAGGCAATGTTGGTTATCAGTTGGTTCTAATATCAGGGTATATGCAGGAATCCTGAAGTCAGATGTAAAACCTTTTAAGACCTTTTTTAAGACCCTTTCTATACATTTTAAGACCTCATCTCCACTTGGAGTTCTAACCGGTTACATTGACCTCACATTCACTATATACAGTATTGATTGTCCTTCCTGCTTATCTTCCAACCATTTGGACGCAGACTTGCATTTCCCCATAACGATGCTGTTTAACAACCGGCGTAAACGGACCTTCGCGCTATCAAGCAGTGAGCGTGCGATGTCCTGTTCAGATGACGTCAAACCCAACGGGATGCCATAAATAAACGACACAGAATCACACTACACACCTACGCAATGATTACATTCAGGCAGACTGTAGAATACAACCTCTTTGGACCATTTATATACTTATTGAAAACAAGCTGTAATACCTTGGAAAATGCAGTTTAATACTTTTTAATAGCCTTAATTTTCGCTAAATTGATTTATCAACTTTTAATACTTTTTAAGACCCCGCGGACACCCTGAATATCCAAATCGATAAATGCTCCGGCCTTTGGTGAAGAACGGAGAGTCGAAGTGTATCAAGTATATGCTACGAAGCGAGAAGAGGTGTTTGAATGGCGCTGGGATGTAGCAGAAGCTATTTTAATGGTCGGTGGATCGCCAGGAATCACCATTAGGATTAACATGATGAGATTGATGCTTCTGAGGAAAACGCAGCGAGGCGCATCCTAGTGAGACATCGAATCAAATACAACGAATGAGAACAAAGTGAGTTGAAGTGCGAGGGCAGAAATGATAAAGAAATAGCCCTCCTATGAGTTATGCAACTTCATTGTTTTTGGTCAAAGACCTAAAATCTTTAAAAAGAAAAGTATGATAAATAACTTTCAAACAACTTCTAAACCAAAAGAGCACTAGCACGGACCTAGAACTGGGACCACTTTGGTGGGAAAGGGGTAACTTACCCCGGGTAAGTGAATCTTTACAGGAGAACAGTGGTGCTTTGAGCTAAGTGTTAATGTTGAAAACTAAAGTCTAGGACTTAATGACAACACCAGATTCAAGTGATTCAAAATCTGCCTCTGTGGACCACATATAGTACATTTCAAGGCAACATACCTAAAAAGTGTGTAAAATAGATTAGGTCAACAGAGTCAGGCACCTTAATAAGTTCAGGACTGAATACTGTGTCTCATCATTAAGGTGAACTGATTGGAACTACAGGAGGATTCAGTAGCATTAGAAGTGACAGCGCTAAGCTACGTGAAGAATACACTATACCAACTGACTAGCCTATAATCCTAACTATAATGTTTGATTCCTCTGGATTTATTTATGCCGAGGACTATTGAAAATAGCAGGGAGTATGTGATCTACACGTCAAAATGGATTTAAACAAGCCTCAAAATGAAGCAAATATGTAATGTCTCCCTGAGCTGTATGCATTTCCAATTGGTTTAAAAATGCAATGACTATTGATTTTTGTTCCAAGATGCCAGCGAGGTCTATCATGAAACAAACCCTGAAGATGGGTTTGGCCACACTAGATTCTCGTTTTCGCTGAACACACCAGCTGCAGCGAGGCGTCAGCTCTCTGAAAGTTAATTTAAATCCTCTTATGCAGTTCAGTCGCTGTCTCTCATCCAAGACAGTTTGAACACCTTGCGAAGATGCTTCTCACAATTTCTAGCTCATGCTTTAAATTGTCTTGACGACATATTTTCAGCTTCGAAATAACCCAGTGTGTGAAAGGTGTGACACTGAACAGGAAGTGGCTCTATGGCCAGTTCACCGCTGACATGTCTCATGTCAACTCATCACAAGTGGACAGCTCTTACTGCGTCAGTTCCCACCGGGCATTATGCTTCTTCACATGTGTCTGCAGCAAGCTTCAATGAAGTGTGGCAGGCTATTTTTCCTGTGGCCAAACGGTGGTACTACAACATCTGTGTCATTGGGCCCAAACATATTTTTTTACCATTGACTTACATTGGGAAAGAGACATCTATAAATGAACAGATTTTATTTCTTTAGGTAAAATAACTACACAGTACGAGATTGAAAATCATTAGGGCTTTAAAGTTACATTTATTCTCCCTCACCACTTATTTAACTCAGCCCAGATGTGACACAGAGAAACGCATGCTCTATGGAGCCAGAACCTTATGATCCAGGTATGACTGTGCTCGAGTCTGGCCATTGGGCTTAGTTGCCAGTGAGCAACTTTCATATGAAGGCCCCAGACACCGTATCTATTCAAGCTTTTTGAAAGGAATTGTTTATTATTGTTGTTTTGTGTTTGTATTTCAGTTTTTACTCTAAATAAATCTTGCATCAAAGGAATGCCTAAAGGAAAAACGTGCTCTTTTGTGTGTGGGCATATTTTGAAGACGTTACTGTTGTTGAAATTAAACTCAGTTATGTTGACAGCCTTTTTCTAACTAAGGCCACCATTTTCCCCTTAGCTAAACCATTTTAACTGAATACACCAGTATGGTCATTGACCAGGACATGCCTGAGTCACATGAAATAAAAACTGGCTCAGCTTTACTGGTTGGTATGTCCCAGATTGGTTTATCTTGATGGATCGAATGATGTAGATAGTGGATTTGTCCACAAGCGCGATGAGGAAACTGTGAGAAACAGTGAGAGTTGCTGCCTGCTTTCCACCTGTCTGGTGTCTGCGATCTGCGGAGGCTTGCTCCCACCTGTAGAGTACGGCTGTGCTGAGGAGGTTTTTACCCCGGAGACGTTGCGGAGAGACGGAGTGGCTCCACGCTTCGGGCTGGGGCCTGCTTCCACCGGGCGTGTGCTGCTGTGCGGAGGAAGATTCACCACGGCTGGGGCCTGCTTTCCACCTGTCCTGGTTCTGCTGTTGCGGTGGCCTGCTCCCACCTGTCGTGTGCTGCGGTGTCGTGTGCTGCATTGCTGAGGAGACCTTTTACCCCGGGGATGCCACGGAGAGACCGGAGCGCTTCCACGCTGCTGCTTTCGCCTATCCTTTGCTGCTGTGCTGATTTGCTCCAGGAACATCGCGGATACTGTGTGCTGGTCTGGGAAAATGGCCCATATCGTAACTCTGCTGTGCCTGTTAACTGTTTTGGACTGTGAGAAGATCTCTAGTCATTCTGAGAAGTCTACTGGATTCAGGTCTGTTCTGTACGGTGGCCGGCAGGTGCAAACGCGGAACAACGGCCCAAAACGCATACATAAGCAGGAAACACCTGCAAATAATGAAATAAAAAACAAACAAACCCTGAAAACAAATACAACAGAAAAACGCTGCATTTACAGAAATGATGCAAACTAAATACAACACACAAACCCCGAAAACAAACGCAACAAAAAAACGCTGCAAATACCAAAACGATATGCAAAGTCCAAAGCACGTACAAATCCCAAAACACATAAAAAAAAAAAACATTCAGGAAGTGCTCCAGGCCTCTAGTTAATGCTAGATCGTATACCTCCTGGGTTTTAGGCGGCGGAAGTGATGTAATCGAGGATGAGAAGCGAAAAGTCGGCAACTTTTGCAGCAACTGACAGCACATCTGGTAATAAAAGTAGACACATTTCATTTAATTTCGCATGGGCTCTTCACGACTCTGGAGTCCTGCAGGAATCCGGAGGACAGTGAACAGGAGTGAGAGGGAGCACACTCCTAAAAAATCTACCCCCTTTTTTAAAATAACCCTCGTAGTGTGCACTGTAATCCGAAATCAAACGCACTAAGTGGCTTTCTGAGTGTTAAATCCCATCTGTGATTTTCTTGTGAGATGTCATTTTAAATATTAGCAATAGCCTGCTGTCCTTCAAAGTTGTGAATTCTCAAAATATTATATTTATGATATTTTTGTGGAAAAATTATGTATTCATGCTCGTCTCTTGTCCTGGGTGGCAGGTTACGTCACTTCCGCCTAAAACCCAGGAGGTATACGATCTAGCACTAACCCTCTAGGGGGCGCGCTACGTGGAACAGATTGATGTCTGACCAGACAGAGAGAACGAACAAGAGTGATGGAAATCGGGAGGAAAGAAAGTTCATTTAAGTGGAGAAAGATATAAGAAGGTAAGTTTTGTTTTGATATATAGAGCGTCATATTTATATAGCTAGCGTTAGCGTGCCTAACTACTACACCAGCTGAGGAGAGCTTCACGTGAAGAGAAGATAAAGTGAGGGAAGAACATTGTTAAAAGAGATGACAAATCAAGTGCAGGCAAATAACACGGGCCATAGTGAGTACCGCGGAAAAAGGACATTTGAATTCTTAGCAGTTTGTTTATATGTACACTGAACACAAATATAAATGCAACACTTTTGTTTTTGCTCCCATTTTTCATGAGATGAACTCAAAGATCTAAAACATTTTCTATATACACAAAATAACCATTTATCTCAAATATTGTTCACAAATCTGAAAAAATCTGTGATAGTGAGCACTTCTCCTTTGCCGAGATAATCCATCCCACCTCACAGGTGTGGCATATCAAGATGCTGATTAGACAGCATGATTATTGCACAGGTGTGCCTTAGGCTGGCCACAATAAAAGGCCACTCTGAAATGTGCATTTTTGCTTTATTGGGGGGGGTCTGGGGGGGTCCGAAAACCAGTCAGTATCTGGTGTGAGGGGTAGGGTTAGGGTAATGTTGTGAATCGAGTGGCCTGTGTTCGTCGTCCATTACATACGCCTGCCCATACCATAACCCCACCACCACCATGGGCCACTCGATTCACAACATTAACCTAACCCTAACACCAGATACTGACAGGTTTTCGGACGAGTGGGATCCGTAATGAGCTACCTCCTTGCCTTACCACAGCACCTGGCACTATATCGGACAGGGCCACCATGTTAAATTGTTTTAATGAGCATTTTGTGTCCTGCGGTTCTATGTTTGATTCTATCACTAACTCTGCTTCTGTGAACACCCCAATCCGTGACTCTGAACAATGTGGTCTGGAAAACTAGGGATGCTCCGATCGCCAATTTCGGGGCCGATCGCTGGAATCAGTATCGGCCGATACCGATCGCCGATCCGATCGAGTGGGCGGGGCCTAAATGGAAGATTTAAACATCACTTTAAATCTTCCATTTAAAGTGATGTTTAAACTCAGTTAATGCAGGGTTGCCAACTTTGGGTACCTGGCTGGAGTGAGATTTTGATATCATGGGTTTAATTACACATATGCGCACTAAATGACTGATATCGTGTCAGCAGCGGGACCTTAGCATATATATAGGATATATATACAATATATACAAATACACAATATTGGACACAGACTATAAAGGGCACAAAGTTTCATTCACTAATGAAAGTCAAACACATGTTTGTTTCCACTGTTTTATTGTGTGCCTGATAAGCAATTAATTGACTTATCGTATGATAAATAAAAATGAACTCGATAAATTGCCATGAGGATGTGACTAGCAGTTTGAAAGGATGTACTTGAATTATTATTATATATTATCATTATGTCAGTGGTCTAAAATGGTCATACAACGGTGCCGACAATATTATCGTTTATCGCAATAATTTCCGGGAAAATGTATCCAACAAAATTAATTATCGTGAGAGGCCTATACATGAAACACACAGACACAAACAAATCTACAGACTCACTCCAAACTGCCAAATATATTGATTAACACACTCTATTTTGGCCTAGTAGAACAATAAGCAGCAGACTTTTACTTTTTTATCATTTCTACTGGTTCTTAGATCTGCGCTTGCGCAATACGGGTTGGCAGTTGCGAGAGAGTATTTGTGTTGGGTAATCTATGGTAGGGCTAACCCATACAGTGATGGGGCTCAAGTCAGTATTTGCAATGTAATTACATACACGCTCCCCTTGACAGTGAAACGCCACGTGAGGTTTAGATTATTTCCCTGTCTCAATCCAAATTGAACTGTATGAAATAAAAAGGCACATTTGTCTTGTAGTAAATAAAAAGGGCGGCCTGGAGCCAATCCTGCAATTTCTCCACAGGTGAAAGAGTTGACATGCTGAAAACCTAACCCCTGCAGGGGGGTCTGGGGGGATTCTCCCCCAGGAGATTTTTTGAAATACTAACATAAAATACACATTCTGGTACTCTCTTGAGAAGAAAAATAAATACATCTATTACTACACGGCATATTTAAAAAAATGAATGCCAGTTTAATTTTTTGTTACTTTGTTCTGAAAGCTGAACCTGCTGCTCCTCACAGAGAGAAGAGGGAAGAGGCTGTGAATGACTTTACATTGTGGATGAAAGACAGCCCACACACCTACCAATCATCAAACCGTGGGGTCTTATTTCATTACGTGTTGATTTCTATCAACACGTAATGTTGTATCGATGTATAGATGTACTTCGGCAAAAGTATTCTCCGTCGGGACTTCCTGCAACAACACCACGCCGTTATCTTGATTCTGATTGGCCAGAAGACATTATCAAAGATGTTTTATTGAGAAGACGATCACTACGTGACAAAAGTTTTCAAAACCGTTTCTAGTCTTCGGTATTCTTGTTTTTTGGCGTGAGAATAGTTTGGGCAGCGTGAGAGCGTGAGATTGAGAGTGAAAGCGTGTGTCACACGCCAGATGCGTGAGAGTTGACAACCCTGAGTTAATGGGGCTCATTCACTGGCGCTTCCACAAACAACAATCAACTTAATTATTACATTCAAATGATGTACATTATTCAAGTTTACATTCACTTTGGATAATAACACGGGAGAAATGAGCGGAAGCGCTCTCTCTCCCCCCTCTCTCCTGACAGCCTGAAGTATCTCATGCAGCTCACTGATCCAGTAATGAGTGACCCGACAGTGAAGAATAAATATATTATTTATAATAACTAGTTTAGCTTGTTCCAGAGGTAGATAAAATAGCTAAGTAGGTCTAACTCTTGTGTGTTTCGTTCCGCTCACCGGTCCGGCGGGCGGAGCTGCAGGATTTCTGCTTCACACACGTTGCATACCGCTATTTTACTGTCTTTTTCGGACACCTTAAGATAATGCCAGACCGGTGAAGCCATTTTGGCGAGCTTGTTTTGCTGCACACAGAGAAAAGTGTCATGTATTTTACGTCATGCGATCGGCTCTCGCGATCGGCATGTTTAGAGAGCACCGATCGATCGGTAGACAGTGAGTATCGGCCGATCTCCATCGGTGACCGATCGATCGGAACATCCCTATAGAAAACCCTTTCAGTTTTACTCCTTTTACTGTTAATGTTGTTCATGAAGCCTTATCTAAGTTAGATCCTAGGAAACCGGCTGGCCCAGACAACGTAGAACCTTTCTTTTTAAAGATAGCTGCAGATTTTATTGCTCAACCTCTCACTTCTCTTTTGAACCTCTCCCTCAGCACAAACACAATTTCAAAAGTATGGAAGTCTGCTTATGTCCTGCCTTTGCTAAAAGGAGGGGAGGCAACTATTTTAAATAACTATAGGCCAATCTCTAAATTGTCAGTTCTGGCGAAGATGCTCGAACGCCTAGTGAGTGAACAGGTAAAGGAGTTTTTATGTAAAAATAATATCCTGTCTCAACATCAGTCAGGCTTCAGAAAGCAACACAGCACCATCACTGCCACAATGAAAGTCGTGAATGACATTACGAGTATCTTAGATAATAAGCAGAGTTGTGCAGCTCTATTTATTGACCTTTCCAAAGCGTTTGATGCCGTCGATCATCGCATCTTAAAGCAGAGGCTACTCAGTATCGGCATATCCAGTCATGCAGTGGGGTGGTTTGTGAACTACCTCTCTGAAAGGTCCCAATGTGTTCACTTTGATGGACTGTCTTCTGAGTGGTTAAACATTGCTAATGGTGTTCCTCAAGGTTCTGTTTTAGGTCCACTTTTATTCTCCATATATATCAACAGTTTAGGTGAAAATGTGGATGAAGCTAGTTTACATTTTTATGCGGACGATACCGTGATGTACTGTGCAGGTCCCTCCATTAAGGAGGCTGGTGTTAAATTACAGGCTGTTTTAACATTATTCAGACTCAGCTCTCTGAACTAAAACTTCTTTTAAATGTTGATAAAACCAAGGTAATGCTATTTCTAAAGCTAAAAAGACACCAGAGCCTGTTTTAGATATTGTTACTATGCAAGGACAAGTACTAGAAGTGGTTACCAGTTATAAATACCTAGGTATCTGGCTTGATGATTGTCTTACTTTTAAACTTCATGTCAATAACCTGCTTAAAAAGCTGAGGGTTAGACTAGGTTTCTTTTTCAGAAACAAGTCCTGTTTCTCTTTTGAGGCCAGGAAAAGGCTAGTCACTGTGACCTTTTTACCTGTGCTGGACTATGGTGATTTGTTGTATATGAATGCACCTGCCTATTGCCTGAACAAGTTAGATGCCGCCTATCACAGCGCACTTAGATTTGTCACAAATTGTAAAGCACTTACTCATCACTGTACCCTGTATGCCAAGGCAGGTTTGCCATCACGAGGCTCAGTCATTGGTACACGTTTATTTATAAAGCCATGATGGGTAAACTACCGTATTATATCTGCTCTCTGATAACACAGAGAGTTGCAAGCAGCTATTGTCTGAGATCGCATGATGTAGTATTGTTAGATGTGCCAAGAGCAAGGACTGTCTTAGGTAAGACAGCTTTTATGTGCGCAGCTCCACTTGCTTGGAACTATCTTCAGCAAGAATTGAAACTGAGCAATCTCATTCCTCTGCATGTTTTTAAAGCTAGGCTAAATGAAATGCTTGTTGATACTATGGGCACTTGTAAATGTCTATAACTATGTAAATGTATCCTGTAAATATAATGTATGATGTCCTTTATTGTTTTATGTTTCATGTGGAACCTATTTGCTGCAGGTCTCCCTTGAAAAAGAGATCTATGATCTCAATGGGACCAATCTGGTTAAATAAAGGTTTGAAATGAAATGTTAGTGTCTAACTCTAAGGGATGGGACCTCAATGTATCTTCATGCGTTTCTTTTACATCTGTACTTAAGGCTGTCATATGATTGGCTCACAATAGACACATGTTAGTAAAAATTCAAACTCTCATGCCCTGATCCTGACCTCAGATAGTCATCACCCACAGTGAGACGCGCGTCCTGCTGCAGAAAACATAATGCTATATACTGTGTATCAGGGTCGGCTCTAGAAGAAATCGAATGGGGGGGCAATCATTTACCAAGCGGGGGCACACACTGCCGTCAACAACCAACACACAAACACCAACGCAACTTCAATTTAAAAAAACATGCTGTACAGTCTGTTGTCTTTCACACACATTGCAGGGTGTAGTGCTATTTTATAGCGCACCTATGACTTGTGCATACATGCACGGTTGTGGCACGACCACCAAAACAGAAACATATGGACATAGGCCACCATATAAAAAGGGTGCAAATGTATTTAGTATCCTATCCATGTGAACATGTTTTAGGTGGGGGTGGACCTAACCTCCTCTAGGGGGGTCTGGGGGCATGCTCCTCCGTGAAGATTATTTTTTAAATATTGAAGTTAAAAGCATCAATCTGGTGCACTTTGAGAGCAAAATGAAGAGATCTATGGATAGCCTACATCTCTCAGCATCCATATGAAACAGAACTGTACACAGATTTACTTTTTCTTTATGGATATTTTACTCATCACTCCCCTTTCAAACTGTATTCTTGTGTTACTGTCCTATAGTAGCCTATTTCATACCCGTTTTTCATTTAGTCTCTTATTCTTTAATAACTATAATGATCATATAAAGGTGTTCCTCGCAAATACTTGTTTACATAAATGGTGACCAAACCGTTTGAGACCCACTGAGATAACTTACACTCAAGTTAACTATCTAAACACTGAGAGAGTCCTTACCTCACTGAGCTGAGGTTATACGATCCTCTCAGTCTGACAGGAGAGGACTCTCCTCCACCTTGGTGTAGAAACAGCTCTTTATATCCGTTAGCATAGCTAGCTAACCAGATGCTAACATCAACATTCCACGTTACCGCTTGCGCACTCACAAAATGCGCTCGTGCCACACACACACAGAGAGCCGTGCTTGAATGAAACACAGAGACCCAGAAGTAGGCTACTTGTACTCTACTATATATCGTATTATTTTCGATGGCTTTACTGTATAATCAGTATAACAGATGGACAGATCGCAACCGGGCTTTCATCTAAACACACAGCCACGTAATGATAACAAAACAAAGGTCGGGGGTCATTGGTCAAGCAACACACCAATCAGAGAGCAGCAGTGAGCACACCTCAGGCTGTGTTTTATATTTGTATTCTTTATTTCTGATGTATTTCACACAAAAAACCTTTAGTGGAAACGTTTTCACTTATATGATTAAAAAAACTAAAACGGCAAAGTGGAAAGGCTTGCCCACCCTGCGTTGGGGGGGCACAGTGACTCATTTGGGGGGGCATGGCCCGCAAATGACCCCCCATGACGCCGACCCTGCTGTGTATGAAGCTGCCCCAACAGTAATGGCCGAGGTATACCAACAGGAGACCCAGCGTGTGTGCTGTCATTCAAACAGCAGCTTCAGAAGGGCTCAGTCTCCAATAACACGGGTTTATTGTGAGCACAATGACAAAACACAGCATTTATGATGCAGGGCTTTTCATTGAACTGCCAAAACCTTCAAAAATAACGAGTGACCTGTCCCCCAGTAATCCTGTATTATTGATGTACAAGATCCCTTTTTGTATTTTATTCGATATTCCTGACATGTAGTCGATCTGCACAATAAATATGCGTTCATCAGTAGTTATTCAATTGTTGCCTGTTTTTGGACCGAATTGATCAATTCTTTATAATAAAACAAGGCATTTGGCGAGGGGTGAATCATTAAAACAATGTTTCACAGCTGCACACATCAGAGTGTATCTCAAAACACAATGTTACCCTCCCTCGACCATATATAACCCCCTAATGCAACTCACAGGAAGCGAAATCAGCAGCTTGGTCTGACCTTTGAGGAATCTCGTTTTTTGTTTGCTTCTCCAAACTATCTTATTCACCACAGAGGCTTTTCTCTTCTTCCGCTCGTTCTTCTCCCTGCACTGGCCTTCAGTCTCCCTTCCTCTTAATCTCTTTCAGTGACATACACTTGTGAGTCAGGAGATCAGGGTCAGAGCAGCTGGCAGATAAAGCATCATTACATTGGAACAGCAGCTCTGAGCTGACACACACTTAGCAAAGAGACAGACATGAAGGACTTCTCTACAGAGAAGAGTCGGGGGAATGAGCCGAGAGGAGGATGGTTTACAGAAACACTTCAGTGTGGCTGAGATGCTCCATATCATGTTCCCCGGATACGTGAGTGTGACAGCGAGGTGTGGTTAAGTTGTTTACTATTGTGTGTTGCTGCAAAATAAATACTGTGTCCCTCTAGAACTCAGTGCTGACTTCAAGTTTGTGAACTTTCAGAAAAGGTCACAGTGCTGTTGGAATGTAGCATTTATATATTGAGAGCAGCTGAAACTTGGGGTGGCAGAACGTACTCTGTCCATCTGAGGAGACGAGCAGCAGAGCATCATGGGAAGGGAACGTGTGAGAGTTACTCCTAAGCCATACTCTTAAATAAACAGTTACCTATCTTACAATATGTCTAACTCCTAACGTTAGCTACAGCCCGGTTTTTAAAAATAATTGACATAGTCAGATTGTTAGAGGCTATTACATGGCATCATAGTTATCTTTTACATTGCCATCCTCACTGACATCACGTCTGACCACAGCATATTGTATTCTACATATCGATAGTAAAGTGCTTTTTTGAGGTTATCAAATCTAACTGTTTGATGATTCATACTGAAGTATACGCCTTTTTCTTAGAACATTGTAGAGTGTCAGATTGGGAAAAGAACACGCCCTTAGTCTCGTTTTCCTATGACGCTCTAACTAGTTTACACTTACACGCACACACACAGCCATACACACACACTCGTCAAGCAGTATCTGAGTAACTGAATTAAACATATCCAGAATGGAGAAAAGCTTTAGCTACACCTTCTACAAGAACACACACTTTAGGGTCAGTGTCTGAGCTGT